GGGGGGGGGGGGGGGGGGGGGGGGGGGGGGGGGGTGGGGGGGGGTAACCGCGGCAACCACAGTGTGTGGGGTAACAGCGCTGCCTGGGGGTCAGGGGGCCAGGGTTCTACGTCCAGCTGGGCCACTTGACCTTGCAAGTATCCTCCTTGGATCCCAGTCAGCTTCTGCCTGAATTCCCTCTACAGAGCCCCACCCTGAGGTCCCCAGGGAATGAGAGCTCTACTTGTCCTTAGGAAATGGACTCTCAGGGGACACACGGACACACTCACTGCTGTAATACAGAGTGCCAAGTGCAATGATGAGCTGCACACAGAGGGCCTTGAGAACGCAATAATGGGTTTGTCTGCGAAATACTTTGGGGGAGAGATGCAGTTTGAGCAGGGCTTGAAGGATGAGCAGACATTTACAAGTAGGTAAATAAGTCTATTTTGAATGCTAAGCTGCGTTAGACCTGCTGTAGCTGTTGCACCTGTTTTGGAACTCATGGCTGTTCTGGGAACAGAGGGGTCAGCGGGAGCTCCATCCAGCTTTGGAGCCAGAGACCATCTTCTGCAAGCTCCACCACTTACTTACGAGTCGTGGAACTTTGAGTGAGTTCTTTACTCAGTGCTTTGGTCTCCTCACGTACAAAACGGGGGTAAAAGATGAGCATCATATACCGGACTATTCATGTGAAAGCCTTGGAATCCTGCCTTGAACACAGTTACGTCATTCCAGGGGAGAGGACTCAGCAAGAGCGTGTGAGGGCCGTCTGCTGGGAAAGCAGGGGCTCTACTGAGGATCGAAGGGGGTCTGGCTGGCTGAGCAGGTGCATCCTTCCTGTCGCTAGGAGCTCTACCTTTCCAGGTAGCGCAGGACTGTTCTCTAATCGGGTGGCCTACAAGGAGCTGTATGTTCTCAGCTGGAGCCTTTAGACATAGTGGGCTAGGAGTAGGAGGTGTGAAAGTGTTACCGCATGTTCTGGCTTGTCAAGCCCTGGGTGGGCGGCAGGGAGTAGTGTGAGCTGAGGCTGAAAAGGTCTGTTGGGGCCACATCATTAAGGGCTTTGGATCTCGGCTAGGCAGTGGGCTGTCTGTGCGTGAAGTGGTGCAACACGGCTATGTCCTGGCAAGGGCTGGGGCACTGTCGAGAACGGACGGGCGTGAGAAGGAAGAAAGCCCGTCGGAAGGCTCTCACGCAAGTGCAGGTGTGTGGTGATGACTTGGAGTAGGGCCCCGGCAAGGGAGTGAGGAGGGGCCAGAGACTGGAGACTTTCTGAGATCGGTTGGTTCTCAGCGAGTTGGCTACGTGGGTGAGGGAAAGAGCTGCTTAAGGATTATTTGCCTCCTCAACCTGCTGTATGGGGCTGTGCTTTTCCGAGCCGGAGAACACAGGTGTAGCCAGCCCAGGGAGGAGGATAGTTTGAGATGCCAAGTGATGCCAGGTGAAGAGATCTAGACAACACCCTCTCTGGTAGAGGGATGGGGACAAACTAGGTGACTGTTGAGGCTGTCTTCAAGCTTTAGGTTTCAGTGCGGGTGCTGGGTGGTGTGAGGCCAGGGACGTCTGGGGTCTGGTGAAGCCACACTTATGGTTTCCCGAGGGCTACCGTGAGACACAGAATGGGAAGCCAGGGATTCCTGAGGTGTTAGAGAGGAGGACAGAATACACAATGATTTAGAAGGAAAATAATCTGGGGGCACCTGGGTGGCTCAGTCAGTTAAGCGTCTGACTCTTGATTTCAGCTCAGGTCATGATCTCATGGTTGTGGGATCCAGCCCCGCGTCAGGCTCCGTGCTCAGCATGGAGTCCGCTTGAGATTCTCTCTCTCCCTCTGCCTCTGTTCCTCCCCCTGCTTGTGCATGCTCTGTCTCTCTCTCTCAAAATAAATAAATCAAATCTTAGAATAAAAATAATCTGTAGTGGGAACTTGGAGCTAAGATATAGAGCTTAAAACCTGGACACAAGTAGGCCTTTTCTTTCTTTTTTTTAAATGTCTTTTTTTTTAAGATAGATGTATATATATGTGTATATATATATACACATATATATACTTTTTTTTTATTTGAGAGAGAGTGAGAGCGAGCATGAGCGGGGTGAGGGGCAGAGGGAGAAGCAGACTCCCTGCTGAGCAGGGAGCCCGATGCGGGCCTGAATCTGGGACTCCAGGATCATGATCTGAGCCAAAGGCAGACACTTAACAGACTGAGCCACCCAGGCACCCCACAAGTAAGCTCTTTCAAGACATAAATTCTTTGATACAGGGGCTTTTCATTTATACTTTATATCTAAAGTAGTTTTCTTGAAAACTATACTCAAATTTAGACTGTCTTATAACTGGTGCCCAAGGAGTATCTGAGTTCCCTTGAGCAAACTACTTAATCTCTCTCTCTCTTTTTTTTTTATTTGACGGAGAGAGAGACAGTGAGAGAGGGAACACAAGCAGGGGGAGCAGGAGAGGGAGAAAGAAGCAGGCTACCCGCGGAGCAGGGAGCCCAATGTGGGGCTCGAGCCCAGGACCCTGGGACCATGACCTGAGCCGAAGGCAGACGCCCAACGACTGAGCTACCCAGGCGCCCCACATATAAGATCTTTATAAGTGTAATTTATTGTTGTTATTTCCATGGTACTTTATATTTTCAAAGAATTGCTCAGAGATCCAAGGCAGATAAGATGCATTGGAAACAGGAAGGACCAAAGCCATCTGAAGGCCAAAGAAGCAGGAGGATATTCCTTAACAGGAACTGGTTGAGCTAGCAGGCAACTGGCAGCTGGGTTAAGGAGCTTCTCTGTCAGAATCACAGAATCTGAATTCAAGAGCCTTTGATAGGCCAGACGATGGGCCAATCCTAACAAGACGAATGAAGTTTTGTTTTGTTCTGTTCTGTTCTGTTTTGGAGAGGGAGGGGGGATGGGAAGGGGCAAAGGGAGAGAGAGAATCTCAGGCAGGCGCCACGCCCAGAGAAGAGCCCAACACGGGGCTCAATCCTACAGCCCTTTGTCAAATGCCTAACCAATTGAGCCACCCAGATGCCCCAACAAGATGAAAAGTTTTACAGGAACAAGAGATGTGATTTAAAAGCACTTGGTGTGAAAAAGTCTTAAGGCTTTTAGTCAAACTCAGTATTTGTCAACGATATGATAGAGCTGCTCTATATTGGCAATATTAGCCTTTATCAATAGGAGTATAGTGTCCAGAGATTCACTGCTCAGAACACATCTGGGTACTATTTCCAATACCCATCCCCAGGGGACAGTGACAATTTGGAGCCTAGTCAAAAAGAAGTGATCCAAATGAGGAGGGCACTGGACACTTTGGCATACATGGAATAATTGAAAGATGTTACTGTTCTTTAGGTGTCTAAAGAACTTACATGAGAAAGTAGTTAGGTTTGTCTGATTCTAGAAAGAGGAATGAAGTCTAGGTAAAAATTGCAGACAAGGAGCGCCTGGGTGGCGCAGTCGGATAAGTGTCTGACTCTTGGTTTTGGCTCAGGTTGTGATCTTAGGGTTGTGAGATCGAGCCCCGAGTTGGGCTCTGTGTTCCGTGTGGAGTCTACTTAAGTTTCTGTCTCCTTCTCCCTCTGTTCCTCCCCCCATCCTCACTCTCTCATTCTCTCCCTAAAATAAATAAATCTTTTAAAAAAAATATTCCATCCATTTACTTGACAGAGTGAGCAAGCCAAGCAGGGGCAGCAGCAGGCAGAGGGAGAGGGAGAAGCAGGCTCCCTACTGAGCAGGGAGCCCAATTCGGGGCTCAATCCCAGGATCCTGGGATCCTGACCTGAGCCAAAGGTAGATGCTTAACCAACTGAACCAGCCACGTGCCCCTAAAATAAATAAATCTTTTAAAAAACATTGCCGATGGGCATCTGGGTGGCTCAGTCGGTTGGGCATCTGTCTTTGGCTCGGCTCATGGTCCCAGGGTCCTGGGATCAAGCCCCACCTGCTCGTCGGGAAGCCTGCTTCTCCCTCTCCCTCTGCTCCCCCTGCTTGTGCTCACTCTCTCTCTCTGTCAAATAAATTAATAAAATCTTTAAAAAATAAAATTAAAATTAAAAAATTGCAGAGAAGGTTTTACTTCAGAAGACACTAGAATTTTCTTATGACAGCGGAACAAATTGGGGCGGCTCAGGTGTGAGTTTCCCGGCCTTGAAGGTATGTATTTATGTATGTAAGCAGAGACGAGACACTGATATGATGGGGATGCTGTCAGGGGACCTGAGCGGTGCGTGGATGGGGGAGGGAGCAGACAAGTGCCCTCTGAGATGTGAGACCCGGATATAACCCTAAAGGCTCCCACTGCCAACCATCCTGGAATTGTGGCTGTCCTCTCACTTTAAGTCATTTCTCTTGCAGGGAAACAAGAGCAGAAGGCAGTTCTCCTCTTGAAGAAGAGAACTCTGAATCCCCCCATGAGGCGGGGACTTTGGACCCAGAAGTGACTCTGTCTTTGAAGGGGACCTTGAACTTAGACGACATTCTCTCCCTGGGGGACACAAGTGACCTCGATGAGATAGATGAGACACTCTGTGTGGAAGAGACAGAGAAGCCCGAGGAGACCCTGCACATCGAAGAGACCAGGCAGCCAGGGGAGGTCCTGGACACGGACGAGCCTGCGAAGCCAGACATCCTCTATGTGGAAGAGCCCGCGAAGCCAGAAAAGACCGCAAGCCCAGAGCAGACCGGTCATGGGGGAGAGACGGGCACGAGCGAGGAGAAAGCGCGCCCTGAGGAGGGCCTCAGCGCTGGGCCTAGTCCCAGCACAGAGAGCCTGAGCATAGAGGATCTGGAACTGCTGGAGGAGCGTTTCCAGCAGTGTGTCCAAGCTGTGGCCCAGCTGGAAGGGGAGAGGGACCAGCTCATCCACGAGCTGGTGTTGCTCCGGGAACCAGCCCTGCAGGAGGTGCAGCGGGTCCATCAGGATATCCTGGCTGCCTACAAGCTGCACGCCCAAGCGGAGCTGGAGAGGGACGGGCTAAGGGAGGAGATCCGGCTGGTCAAGCAGAGGCTGTTCAAGGTGACCAAGGAGTGTGTGGCCTACCAGTACCAGCTGGAGTGCCGCCGGCAGGACGTGGCCCAGTTTGCCGAGCTCCGGGACGTGCTGACCACCCGGGCGGCCCAGCTCTCTGAGGAACTGGCCCAGCTCCGGGAGGCCAACCAGAAGCAGAAGGAGCAGCTACGGCAACAGCTGGAAGCGCCTCCAAGCCAGAGCGACGGGCACTTTCTCCAGGAGAGCCGGAGGCTCTCTGCCCAGTTTGAGAACCTCATGGCGGAGAGCCGCCAGGGCCTGGAGGAGGAGTATGAGCCTCAGCTGCTGCGCCTTCTAGAGAGGAAAGAAGCTGCGGCCAAAGCTCTACAGAAAACCCAGGCCGAGATCCAAGAGATGAGGGAGGCTCTGAGACCCCTGCAAGCAGAGGCCCGGCAGCTCCAGCTGCAGCACAGGAACCTGGAGGACCAGATCAGGCTTGTGAGGCAAAAGCGGGATGAGGAGGTGCAGCAGTACCGGGTAGGCCCCCTGGGCGTCCGCACAGTGCCACCCGTCAGCCCGGGGGTTGGGGGGAAGACGTGGCCGGAGCGGGAAGTCTTCCGGGCACTTTGAAGGATCCTCTCCTGTGCAGGAAGGATGGCTTACTCTTTGGGGCGTCCACTCACTTCTTTACTCCACTCTTCATTCCACTCAGTCAGGCCTGTGCTAGGGGCTGAGAACCGTCTGCACCCCTAGTGCATGCAGCACCCCGACACTGTTGTCACTCGGTCCTCTCGTTAATCCTCCGAATCAAGTATTATCGCTTTCATAGACGAGGGCGCAGGCTCAGTGAGCTGGGGATTTTCTTTTTTTTTTTTTAAGATTTTATTTATTTAAATTTTTTTTTTTAAAGATTTTTATTTATTTGACAGAGACACAGCGAGAGAGAGGGAACACAAGCAGGGGGAGTGGGAGAGGGAGAAGCAGGCTTCCGGCAGAGCAGGGAGCCTGATGTGGGGCTCGATCCCAGGACCCTGGGATCATGACCTGAGCCGAAGGCAGACGCTTAACAACTGAGCCACCCAGGCGCCTCTGAGCTGGGGATTTTTGCCCCCTGGTCTGACCAACCCTGAATATTTCAGTGCACTTTCCACGGTACAATTTTCCAATTCTTTTTTTTTTCCTTTTTTAAAACAGCTTTATTGAAGTGTAATTGATATACAAAAAAATGTACATATTTAATGTGTACAATCTGATGAGTTTGGACACATACATACACACAAGAAACCGTCATCACAATCAAGGTAATAGACGTACCCATCACTTTTAAATGTTTCCTTGTGTCCTTTTTGTATATGTGGTAAAAATGTTTAACATAAGCTCTACCCTCTTAACAAGTTTCACATTTCTTTCCCTTTAAATTTTTTTGTTATGTTAATCACCATACATTACATCATTAGTTCTTGATGTAGTGTTCCGTGATTCATTGTTTGTGCATAACACCCGGTGCTCCACGCAGAATGTGCCCTCTTTAATACCCATCACCAGGCTAACCCATCCCCCCACCCTCTCCCCTCTAGAACCCTCAGTTTGTTTCTCAGAGTCCATTGTCTCTCATGGTCCGTCTCCCCCTCCGACTTACTCCCCTTCATTCTTCCCCTCCTGCTATCTTCTTCTTCTTTTTTCTTAACATATGTTGCATTGTTTGTTTCAGAGGTACAGATCTGTGATTCAACAGTCTTGCACATTTCACAGCGCTCACCATAGCACATACCCTCCCCAATGTCCATCACCCAGCCACCCCCTCCCTCCCACCCCCCCACCACTCCAGCAACCCTCAGTTCAATTTTCCAATTCTGCATGAATCGTGCTTGGGTACAGAGAGCAAGAGGGGCGAGGCTAAGTGGGGTGTTCCTTCTCTCCCTCCCCATGCACTCACCCTCAAGTCCCACCTGTCCCATCTCTGCCTGAAGCTTCCCAGTTTTAAAATTGGGATGAGGGACACCTGGCTAGCTCTGTTCAGTAGGGCACACAACTCTTGATCTCAAGGTTATGAGTTCGAGCCCTACACTGGGTGTAGAGATTACTTAAAAACACACACACACAACTGGGACGAAATCTATAAAGCTCTAGTCCTCATTTTGTTTTTAGTGCATTGTCACCATTTCGCTTATATTCGAGTTACTTCTGATTAAGTGTGAGCCAGTTTTTTTTTTTTTTTTTAAGATTTTATTTATTTACTTGTCAGAGAGACAGAGAACACAAGCAGAGGGAGCGGCAGGGAGGGGGAGAAGCAGACTCCCTGCTCAGCAGGGAGCTCGACGCGGGACTCGATCCCAGGACTCTGGGATCATGACCTGAGCTGAAGGCAGACGCTTAACCGACTGAGCCACCCAGGTGCCCCCTAATCTCTTTATAGATAGAGTGGGATATAAATACTAAGTGAAAACACAATTTTGTCTGTCTGTCCCACAGACTGTGAGCTTTCAGAGGGAGTATGGTTTACTTACTTCTGCCACTCCGGCTCAGGGGACATATCAGTTTAATGCTGACGTAAGCACCGTGGACCACTGTGAGAGCCTTTCAGAGCAGTATTTTCATCTTTTGAAACACACATCCTTTGGATAAACTTAAAAAGCTTACGCCCTTCCAGATATTGATACATCCTTCAAGGAACAGGTCCTCTGTTGAAAATGGCTGCATTCACTTCACTCAAGATTTTGTCAAGCTTTCTATAGTTTGTATCATGAAAGCAATGGGGTTTTTGGTCCTAATAGTGAATGCATTGTGCACTACCCTCAATCCCCTCCCCCACTGCTTTCTTATTGGTTCACAATGTAGTCAAAGAGCCTTTTTTTCTTTTTAAATAAATACTATCCTTAATAGCTTGTACTCAAACAGAGAATAATTGTAACCCAGGGGAGAAAGCAGCATGTGATTTAAGAGAGGTGCATCTAAAAGTGCTATAGGATAATGAAATTATTTTAGTCATCGGTTAAAGCACAGAACACTTCATGGAAGAATGGGTATTATTTGAGCTGGGTATTGAAATTTAGGCAAGACCTAGACCAGTGTTGTCCAAAAGAAATATGCAAGCCACATACGGAATTTTAAACTTCCTAATAGTCACGTTAAAAAAGTAAAAAGAAATAGGTGAAGGTAATTTTAATATATTTAACACAACATATGCAAAATATGTGAAAGGTGAAAAACTGAAAGGTGGGGTGCCAGGGTGGCTCAGGTCATGATCCTGGGGTCCTGGGATGGAGCACCCCTCCCCAGCATCAGGCTCCTTGCTCAGTGGGGAGTCTGCTTCTCCCTCTGCCCCTCCCCCAATCATGCTAGCTCGCGCTCTCTCGCTCTGTCTCAAATAAAAGAAAATAAAAAGAAAAACTGAAAGGTGATTTGAACTGAAGAGCTAGGTTGGGGCAGATCATATTGGACTCTGAAATCCAGACTAGGGAATGTGGATTTCATTCAGTAGTCAGCTGCATCAGTAAAGGGAGTAACATGACTGCCTCTCTACTTTTAGAAAAAGTACTGGTGGCAGTGTGCAAAATGGGCTGGAAACGTAGAAGCGAGGGGACTAATTAGGAGGCTATGATAGGTAAGGGGAAGAAATGGTAGCGGAAGACAAGAAAGGGGAGGGCTTCGAGAACAAATGCAGGATAAACGTGGCCCCTGAATGAAGGGGGCGGAGGTGAGAAGTCACAGAGGGTGTTGAGACCTCAGGCAAGGCTCACTGGGACAGTGGTTCCATCAACAGGGAATCCTCTGGGGGAGCTTTTTTGTTTTTTAAAGATTCAATTTATTTGAGAGAGAGCATGAGCAGGGGGAAGAGCAGAGGGAGAGGGACAAACAGACTCTTGTGTTGAGCGCGGAGCCTGACATGGGGCTCAATCTCACGACCTGAGCCAAAATCAAGAATCAGGCACCCAACCCAACCAACTGAGCCATCCAGGCACCCCCTCTGGGGGAGTTTTCTGACACAAAATGAGGGTTGTAGAATGTTTCCTCCCTTGGGGTGTCTGGGCGGCTCAGTTGGTTAAGCGTCTGCCTTCGGCTCAGGTCATGATCCCGGGGTCCTGGGATCGAGTCCCACATCGGGCTCCCTGCTCGGCAGGAGGCCTCCTTCTCCCTCTCCCACTCCCCCTGCTTGTGTTCCCTCTCTCGCTGTGTCTCTCTCTGTCAAATAAATAAAATCTTGGAAAAAAAAAATGTCCCCCCCTGTAATTTTCATCACTGTACTGGATTTGTTTCAGATCTGATGGTTGCTGCAGCTTTCCAAAGATCATTCTATGAAAAACACGCTTGATGAAATGTCTCCTATTGCTATATCATAAAGTGGGAATCAAGGTCTAAGTGAGCAAATTCTTCTTTCTGAAATGGCTTCCCAGACTGTTTGCCAAAGGTCACTTAACGGCATCTGACTACTTTTCAAGGGTACACTTCACTCTTGCAGTTGTAAACTTTGCCTCTTTCATCACCATCACCTGTTCATTCAACAAATACTTTCTTAGTGCCTACTTACCATGTGCCAGGCAATGAGTTAGGTGCTGGCAGAGGAGATGAGAAATGGCTGGGGGGGGGGGTAGTTCCTGCCCCCAAATGGTTTATAGTCCAGGAAGGATACCAGATAAAATGAATATATTTCATAAAATCTAAGACACTTGTTTTTAAAATGCACCCTGACCTGAGATGTTAAAATGTGAAAGCCTTAGAATCAATGAAATAATTAATATTCTTCAATGTAATAAACACTGTAATAGTTGTAGGAATAAGGCACTGTACCAGTGAAGTAGATTTGTGAATCCCAAGTGCCTTGGGAAGCACAGGGGAAATTTCATGAGGATTAACAATAGCTAGCATATATTTTTAGTTCTTTACATGTATTAATCCATTTAATCCTTGCCTGTCTGTGAGAGAGGTACAAATTAGTCACTGTGAAAAATGAGGAGAGAGATGAGACAAAAAGTTAAGTCATTTCTTCAGGGTTATATGGCTAGGAAGTGATGGAAGGAGGATTCTGACCCTGGGCAATCTAGCTCAAGTTCACATTCAGCTTCACAAGGTGTTTGAGCTGAGCCTTGAAGAATAAATCCATTGGGTAGACAAGGGAAAGGCATTCCAGGCAGAGGGAACAGCTTACACAAAAGCATAGAAACACAAAAAGACATTGTTAAGGGAAGTGAGCTCAGTGTGGCCGAATCATGAAGAATGTAAGCAGGAGACAGATGTGGCTGGAGAGGTAGACTGGGACTGGACTGTAAAGGGTTTGATGTATTCAGTCTGGTTTTCAAAAAAAGGTTTCCTCCAAAGCCACAGACCCATTTCCCCCAAACAGAATCTTGTATGGAATGGTAAAAGTGAGGAGCTACTTTCTAACTGTGGCAAGGGCACTTCAATATGGCCTCCTCCTGGGGTTTCAAGCACAAGTCTGAGGACCACTGAAGAGCCGATAGATAAGGCGGCGGCGAAGCAGTTGCACAGCATGAGCTCTAAGCCAGCGGCAAATCCTGGCTCTACCACTTTTTTTTTTAAGTTTTTTTTTTTAACTAATCTCTACACCCAACATGGGGCTCAAACTCATGACCCTGAGATCAAGAGCCGCTTGAGCGGCTCTTCTGATTGAGCCAGCCAGGCGCCCCTGACTCTACCACTTCTAACTGGGAAACTGGACAAATTACTTAATCTGTGGCTCCACAGTCCCTCACATGTAAACTGGGATTAGTAATAATTCACATCATAGGGCTCGTGCAAGGAATGAGGTAATATTTGTGAAACATTTGCAATGGTGCCTGGCACATAGGTAAGTGCTCTTAAAATTGGCAGTGTGCAGGATGAATTGAAAGAGCCTGGAAAGACCACTTTGAGAGAGAATGTAAGATACGTGAAGTAAAATATTTGTGTAGGATTTGGTGACTGGTGCAGTAGGTGGTACAAGGGATTTGCTGAGAACATTGTCAAAGTTTTTAGCTGAAAACGGTAGGTCGCTTATGCTTAACTATGGAATGCGTACTATCTACGTATTTCACGCATTATGTGTAGGGTGCTGCTGGACAGGAACCTACAATCTGATTGGGAGTTAGACATGAATAAAAAAGATAGTGATATAACATAGCAGATGCTGTTTAGGTGACAGACCCTAGTTCCAGTACCTGATAGCCACATGTGGCCTGTAGTAGTTTCCATACAACACGGTGCAGGCTAGAGCAAAGTGTTCATATGAAAGAATAATGGAGGTTCTAGTTAGAGGTAGGGGTCAAACTAGAGGGGTCTGAATGCCAGACTAAAAAGATGGAAAGCTTTTGAAGACTCAGATGATAAAGCAGTTTTTGGAAAGTTACTCTGGTTGGTACTACACAGTGTTAAGACTGGAGGTTGTCTTTTTTTTTTTTTTTTTTAAAGATTTATTTATTTGACAGAGAGAGACACAGCAAGAGAGGGAACACAAGCAGGGGGAGTGGGAGAGGGAGAAGCAGGCTTCCTGTTGAGCACGGAGCCTGATGTGGGGCTTGATCCCAGGACCCTAGGATCATGACCTGAGCCGAAGGCAGACGCTTAACGACTGAGCCACCCAGGCGCCCCAAGACTGGAGGTTGTCTTTAATGCCAGTCGCTCTAGCAGTATTTACTTCATTCTGTGACATTGTTCCTGTCAGTTTATCACTGATGGTACAGACTGCCTTCCCAAGCAGATACTTTTATGCCTCACCAAAATACAGGTTTGCTGGCTTGGGAAACTGGGGCAGAGGTATGCAGATGCTTCCCTTCAGAAGACAGGCTTGGATGGTAATAAGGCTGCTTCTCTGTGTGGTGCCAAAGTATGGCTAAGGCACTAAAAAAGGGCCTTTTGATAAGGTTGATGGAAGCTGAGATTCAGCCAGAGTATCAAACACTGCAGACTGATGTGCTACAGGTATACCAAGGATGACTCATAGAACCAATTATTTAGACCCGTCTAATAACAGCATGTACCCAAACTGGCTTCCTGTCTTATTCTTCAAAATCTGAGGTGAAATCATTACCCCTTTAAAATAGGCCTTCCAACTTCAACTTCCCTTCCCATCTCCCTCACGCTTCCTAAGGATCCACGCCAGCTAGCAACTATGCCAGAGACTGATTTGCTGACATCTTCCTTACCTCACTCCTCAGGCATTAATCCTGGGCAGAGACAGTTTACAGAACGTATCCTGTCTGGTTTTGGCAGAATGGGAAACTGACAGTTATCTTACGGCTCCTGAAGGCCTCCAGGGCATTGCTTCTTCATCTTCCAATTTAGCACTTTGGAATGAATTCACTTTTAGTGTAATGAGTACAGGATATAGGAAATTAACAATTGTGATAGCCAACATCCTAATAAAGCACCTATGTGCATAGGATGTTACAGTTAAGTACCAGGTAGAGCTATCCTGGACTTCAAGGAGGTTCAAATATAAAACTTGTATTTACTGTTTTTCCTGTAAACAAGTGGACTTCTAGTACTTGAACTCTCCTGGAATTACAGTTAATAATTGCTTACAAAGAATTGATTTTTTTTTTTAAGCTCCACACCCAACACGGAGCTCGAACTTAGAACCCTGTGATCAAGAGTCGCATGTTCCACAGACTTGGTCAGCCAGGTACCCCAAGACTTGGTTTCCTTTAAGTTGCAGGATGATATATAAAAACGGATTATCCTAACAAAAACAAACTTGCACCGAGCCAGAGGTCCATGAAACTCTCAGTGCACCAACTAGAGGACCAAAATCCTCCCCCACACTGAAAACTGCAAAACAGGGGTGCCTGGGTGGCTCAGTCGTTAAGCCTCTGCCTTTGGCTCAGATCATGATCCCAGGGTCCTGAGATTGAGCCCCGCATCAGGCTCCCTGCTCCACGGGAAGCCTGCTTCACCCTCTCCCACTCCCCCTGCTCGTGTTCCCTCTCTCGCTGTCTCTGTGGCAAATAAATAAAATCTTTAAAAAACAAAACTGCAAAACAAACAAAAATCCCTCTGAGCACCCACCCACCCTTTGCAGGATCCTATTAAACTGTCATCTGCAGGTACAGACAGGACTCCTTCAGGTCACCATTGGCAAAAGTAGGATCGCTTTGTCCAAACACCTCTTTGAACCTGTTTCTCAACCTCAATACTGGTGTGAAGGTTAAACCATGTGGAAGAAAGTGCTTTATCAACTGTAACGGACAATGTTCGTTTTTTACTGTTCTGTTCATTAGAGATGTTCTTGGCCTTCTCACTGCAGGAGCAGCTGGAAGAAATGGAAGAACGACAGAGGCAGTTAAGGAGCGGGGTACAACTCCAGCAACAGAAGAATAAAGAGATGGAGCAGCTAAGGATCAGCCTTACTGAAGAGCTCTCCACTTATAAGTCAGTTTCTGCTGCTACTCAGATCTTTACCAACACTGGCTGAGGGGTGGTGGTGAGGGCAGATGTTGCTCAGGGGAAATTTCACTTAACAGGGAAAAGCAAAAAAGTGACTTGGGAAATGATTTCCAAATTGTGCTCATCCATGACAGATGGAAAATGGATCTCTTTTTTTAAAGGGCTATGCTACCCAAGAGCCTGGGACAGGCTAACGCTCCCACTTCTCAGGCAGGTGGAACCGAGACACAGTCTCAAGGTGATCCTTGAGGGTGTAAGAGTGGTGTTTGCATTATTGCTGCTCCTAACTTAACAATACTAATGCCTTAAGAAAACTTAAGAGTGTGTCAAATGACAAGTCTGTTAGGAGTAACACATACCTCCACATTGCCTGGTTTCAGCATTCAGGGGTCACTTGGAATGTTTGTTTCTAGCAGGACTCAAAGTATGCTCTAATTATCGCCAGGAATTCTCTAACAGGATGACATATCCGGGCTCTGTGCATTCTTACTTTCCTTGGCCTATCCTACCCCATCTGCTATTCATAAATAGCTTCCTTAGAATAGCAGAGAAGACAGTTATGCTACCTAATTCAGACTGTGACAAAGGAGGCCAAAAGGCTAAATTAATCTCGAGTCATAAAAAAGGCTCAAGTGGATGTTGTTATATTATAGCCTGTGGGACAGGATTATTGCTTAAAATATGAAACAAGCAACACACCTATTCATTCCTTTCTTTATATACTAATGTTCTTATATTCTGTATAAAGTCCTAGATTCTCTCGGATAAAGAAACTAAGGATTAAAAAAGGTCTGGGTCAAGTTGTATACTAGACAGATGCCCATAAATATTATTTTTAATTTCCTGGTTAATCTTGTGTCTTGGATACAAACTCACAAATAACAATTATAACTGATACTTTTCCTAACTTACTAGCATTTTCTTTTACCCTGTTTTATCCAGGCATGACTGATTATGCTTATAGTTTGGGAGATTAGGAACCTTGTAAATAAGGAAAATGATATGTTAAACACCTTTGTGTGGATCAGATTTAAAAGTACAATAGGGAGGGGCGCCTGGGTGGCTCAGTTGGTTAAGCGACTGCCTTCGGCTCAGGTCATGATCCTGGAGTCCCGGGATCGAGTCCCGCATCGGGCTCCCTGCTCAGCGGGGAGTCTGCTTCTCCCTCTGACCCTCCCCCCTCTCATGCTCTCTCTCTATCTCATTCTCTCTCTCAAATAAATAAAATCTTTAAAAAAATTAAAAAAAAAAAAGTACAATAGGGAAAGGGCAACAACTCATCTTAAGAAAACGAAACTACAGAATCCCAGTTACTCTAATACCCATGTATGGTTAACGTGGGCAGAGAAAATCTCTAGCTAGCCCCTCCCATCACCACCACATAGGTTACCATTCATTCTGTTTTGTAAATAGGAGGCACCCAAATAGGCATTTGGTGAGGAGAAATGCATCACTAATCATATGTAAATTATACTCTAGCAATCTCTCCCCAACTTAAATTTTTTTTTTTAAGATTTTATTTATTTATTTGAGAGAGAGAGAATGAGAGACAGAGACCATGAGAGGGAAGAGGGTCAGAGGGAGCAGCAGACTCCCTGCTGAGCAGGGAGCCCGATGTGGGACTCGATCCTGGGACTCCAGGATCATGACCTGAGCCGAAGGCAGTCGCCTAACCAACTGAGCCACCCAGGCGCCCTCTCCCCAACTTAGCCAGCACTAACTAAACTTCAGAAGTTTGCTGTGATGAACTTTACACTGTATTACTTCAAGCTGCACCAAGTATGAACTTAATTCTTTTTTTTCTCAACCTTGCAGGGGCTGTTTAGAAACGTATGGCCGAATCTGTAACCCAGAAACAACAAAAAACTTTTTAGTAAAGGATCACTAAGTACCCTTTGGACATACTTTTTTTTCCAGAGAAGGGAGTGCCAAGGACTTGGCAAGCAGTTCACCCTGGGAAAGTTACAAATACTGGCTGACCTGTTTTAAATGAGCCTTCTGTCCTCTGACAGCAACTCCCACGTGCACAGAGTAAATAACGGATATATGGACACTTTAGTGTTGTGAAGAATGTATCTTGCCTTGTGTTGACCCAAAACTAAATTTTTTGGAGCACAGGTAGGGTCAAAAAGGCAGCCGATTTTCATGATATGGGTTTACAATTTGAATTCTTTTGTGCCATGAGTGTTAGACTTTTAAAATGAATCCTTTTACAAAGTTTAAGTCTGTGTGGACTCATACAGTTTACTCCTGTGTCAAAATAATTTTCACTACACTCAGAACTACTAACTTGGAAAAAGAAACCAATCTAGATTTGAACCTAAAGGTTTAAGGATATTCAGATTTTCCCAAAGACTGTCCCTCATGAAAATGATTTTGGGTCAGAGTGATGTACTCCGTTAAATTGAGTGACTGGCAAAGAACCAGGCATTTTATCTGGTTATGGCACTTGGTGATAAAGACTTGCAAGAGCCTATTATTTCTAACCTCTAAATACAGGCTCCAGTGAAAAACATACTGGGGAGAGTCAACCTCTCTACGGGCAAAGGTTCAAACACCTTTTCCAAATTTAAAGTCTGCCTTAAATGCTCTCTGCCACATTGCCTTTGACAGTCTTGAAAGTCTACATAGTTCTCTAGGGAAAGACTTCAAAAAGATGTTATGTTATCAAAGACTAATCCGTGTTACCTCTGGCTCAGTGTTTAATGTCTTGCACTTTCCCTGGGAAGGAGTAAAGCTCTCTTCTATAGCTCTGGATCTATTATATTTAATTCTGCTCTTGATAGTCGAAGACCATACACAGTAACTGTCCTCTGAACAACTCTTCAAGAAGCCAGACTGGTGTTTGATAAATGTTGTATACCAAATAAAACCCATCATGGGGTTACGTAGAAAAGCAATTTATTCCATTATAAGCACTTACACAGTTAGTCATGGAGAGTAACAGGCCTGCTGGTGAAACAGGTCACCCAAAATAGAGATGGTACCAAACTAGTGGTCAAAGACTGACTCCTAAAAAAAAAAAAAAAAAAAAAGCAACTCTTATCCAGGATTAATTTAATTTTAAAAACAAATACAAGCTATCAATTCACTCTTCTCAACTCAACTGGACAGTCTACCTGTGGTATAACTGTCAGGTAAAAACATACATCTTTACAACTTGGTGGTCCCAAGTTTTTTAAAAAACCATTTCACAGAAAGGAAAGAAATATGAAAACAGCTCAAGAAATACACTAACAAGCAAAAATATATGGGGGAAAGAGGAACACATAGTTTTGACTTAACTGAAGAAACTGAGAGGAGACTGGTCTACATAGCAAAATGTGCATCCTGGAAAGTCAGGTGGGAAAATTTTAGAACAGGAATTTATGACTTGAATCTCCCCCATTTCCTGAATAAAAACGACATCTTGTGGTATTTATACTTCATGGCTCAGACACCTACCTCACTTGGCTCTACTCCTTCCTTACTTTAGCCTTTACTTAAAGGAGTCTGAAAAACTTGGGGATATAGCCTAAGAAGAAAAATAACCACACATAATATTCCCCTTTCTGTGGCTACTTGAGACCTGTGTTACTAGAAAATTCCTAAAGAAAATTTAAATATTAAGTCTGTGGCTTTACTGAATCAAGTCCCCTAGTTAATATTTAGAAAACACCCTCTGTTTGGGCTAATAACATTGTTGATGGTACCTATCAGAGGGATAGCCAAACAAAGTCTGTGTCTCAAAACCAGTGTTAAATCAATCTCAGCGTTGAGAGGAAAAAAAAGGGGAGTCTAAAATCACAAGAAGTGCAGACATATCTAGGACCCTTGTCCTTCTGGATCCACGCTTCCTTCAGGATCTTCATCATTATAAATGTTCTCTGCCTGCCCAAAAACAAGAAACAGAGAAAAAGGTATTCAGTAAACATGAAGGATACTTCTTGAAGTTAAAGTTTCAAAAAACAGACTAGGCCAGGGAGACAGACTGTGAGCCACAGTCTCTGTAGCAACTATTCAACTCTGCAGTTGCTGCATGCAAGCAGCCAGGGACCATCTGAAAATGAATGGGTATGAATGGCTGTGTCCCAACAAAAACAGGCAGCTGGCCCACAGGCCAACTAGATCAGGACATTCCCACAACACCGAAGTACGGTTACTATTTGTCTTGATACTCAACCTTCAGGAGTCCTTCTACTAGACATTATTCACAAGAGTCAAAAAGTAAAAACAACACAAATGTCCATTAAATGACCAATGAATAAATAAAAATGTTATCTGGCAATAAAAAAAAGCTACTCACATATTGCGTTTTTAATTTATATTAAATGTCAAGAACAGACAAATCCATAAAGTAGACTGGGGGTTGCCTAATGCTGGGAGGACTGGAGGAAAATGGGGAGTGATGCTTAATGGGTAGGGGGTTTTTCTGAGGGGTAAATTACTGTGAGGATGGTTGTATAATTCTGTGATTATAGTAAAAAAATAAATAAATTAGAAAGTCTTCATTAAGAGCCCACCCTCAAACCATGGGTTTCAAAACTCAATTTATAAATATTTTTAAAAGAAAACTGCTTTAGCATAAAATCAGCTCTACTTCTATTACTTGATGAAAAACTTGCATCCAAAGGCATAATTTTTTTTTAAGATTTTATTATTTATTCGACAGAGAGAGACACAGCAAGAGTGGGAACACAAGCAGGGGCAGGGGGAGAGGGAGAAGCAGGCTCCCCGCAGAGCAGGGAGCCCGATGCGGGGCTCAATCCCAGGGTCCTGGGATCATGACCTGAGCCGAAGGCAGACGCCCAGTGATGGAGGCACCCAGGAGCCCGAAAGGCATAATCTTAAATACAGAAAACACTTACATTTGGGCAAAGTTTACTGTTCTTACTTAGCATCTACTATGCACAAATCACTAGGCTACGTGCTGCAAAGGATGGGATAATCTTCTCTTTAAAGAGCCTGTAATCTGACTGCAGGAATAGGAAAATATACAATTGTGTAATGTTTCTGATGACAAATATATAGTGTCTTTTTCACCCAACTGGGTGTCGAACAATTTAATTCAATCCTGACACTAAGTGCACCTGAAAGTAGCGTCAGACTCCGTAGGTTTAAGGGCCTAGTCCCACAAGACTATGATCCTCACTTCAGAGGCCAGTGTCAAGCCCTGAGTGCCTAGACTACCCATGCACTTCTGTCCAACTTGGCTATCAACTCAGGAGTTTCCACAAGCCATCCCCCATCCCCCACCAACCCCGCCACCTTAGATTTGATAATTTGCTGGAATGACTCCTGGAGTCATGAACATGCTGCCTTGCTTACTATCAGCAGTTTACTATACAGCTTACAACTCAGGAAAAGCCAAATGGCAGTGAAGCACTGGGCAAGGTGAGAAGGGAATGCAAAGCTTCTAGGTCTTCTCTGGACAGCATCAATATATTCAACAACTCGGAAGCTCATCGAATCAAGAGGGTACATAGAGCCTTTTCAACAGTTTTACAGAGCTCAATCCCCTCTGCCTGTGGGTGGGAGGGACTGAAAAGTTCTCCAATCACCTATTTGGTCTTTTGGGAGACCAGCCCCATCCTGAGGCTTGCCAGGGGCCCTAAGTTACCTCCTGAGCCTAAACTCAGGTGTGGCCAAAAGGGGCTCCTTATAAACAGCAACAGAGACTTCTACCACTCGGACAACCCCAAGGGTTTAGGAACTTGGACAAAGACAAAATATTTACTTGTTTTACAGTTCTTTTTTTTCTTTTACCACAATTCTAAAAAAACTGAGTAAAGGAACAACCTGGCCCGAAGGTGATACAGTTCAATCTCCTACAACATTCCCATGGCAACTACTAAACTATCTTTAACTGACAGGCTATCCAAGGCAGCACATTTCACCTTCCTGTCAGAACTCTCAACTTTTTATATTATACGTGGGTGTATTACAAGGAAAAGGTAAGGTAGATCTTCTGTTTACACATGTAATACATAATTTTTACAAATTATAATACTGAAATGTATAAAGAAGAAATCCAAAAAC